TTTTATTCAGCTGATAAGAACAATGGTTACAAGATTTCCAAGACAATGGATGGAATTTCAAAATATTATTTTGGAGATGTGAGAGATGGGAAAGAAGAGTGTGCTTGTGGAAACGATCATGCAAAACTAGGATCATGTAAAAAAAGATCAAGTTAAAAGGTCAGATGTAAACCTGTTGCTTTATATGCTAATTCAAAAAGAAATAAATAAGGAAAACAAAAATATGTCAAAACCATGTCATAAACATCTGTAATGTGTTTATCTGCCAAGGGATTTCTATCCACATTTTAAAAACAACAATAACAATATGATAGCATATAAAAATGATAATTTTTACTGGCTACACACAAAAAGATAAAGTAATGGCTATAGGCCCACGAAAATATTTGTACTTCATATCTTCAAGTAATGTAGAAAGAAAGTAAATAAGGCATGCACTATTATGAACACATTTGACTGTGTGAAATTGAAACTACTAAAAGGAACAAATTTGGTGAAGATGAAGAAAAGTTCCTATAACCTGATAGTACTGTAAAATAGATAGCCAACTTGGGAAAATAATTTGAGATCTTAAACTTTTAGATATATAACTGACCTACTCTGTTATTCTACTCTTGGGTATTGGCTTAAGAATATTGAAAATAGATGTTAGAAAAACTTGTATATGCATGTTCATAGTAGATTTAATCACAATAAATCAAAAGTAGAAATAACCCTGATATCCATCACCAGATGCTGGATTTAAGACAAAATCATTACCACTTGGAATGAAGAAACTACTGATGCATGCAACCACATACATGAGTCTTAAAAGTCATTACTTCAAGTGAATAAGACCAGACAGGAAAGAGGATGCACTGTATGATCTGTTTGTATAAATACCCACTCCTTTATGTTGGCAGAAAACAGACCAATAGTTGTCTGAATTAGGAACAGAAGAAAGGAATGACTACAGAGGCACCACAGGCATCCACTTGAGGTGAAGGAAATGTTCTGCCCTTGGATTATGTTACTGGTTTAACGACTGTGTGTGTACCTATCAGAACTCATATAACTGTACACTTCAAGTCCTTTTACTTTGCTATACATTAACTACACCTAATTGAACTTGATAAAATGGTATGTAATGCATTCATTGGGATAGAAATTGCCTTAGAGATCATTTAGTGATCTGTCCTGAAATTCTAAACTGGTTTCCACATCTAAAGAAGAAAGTGACATAGGTTAGAATCTGGGTTAATTATTTTGCTTCCTGTTCTATGTTTTAACAATAAACATGGCTATGTAGGTGTGTACATGCACATTCATGTCCAGATGCAACTATTCAAGTTTAAGAGAATTTGAAATTCTCTGATATTTTCTCTAATGTTTTTTCTGCTCTTGTGTTAAGTTCTGAAACTGAATTATTTTTGAACACAGGCTGCCTAAACTGTCTGTTTTGTCTCTCATGCTAGAAAGAGAGTTAGATTCTCAGAACATCTTGGTTTGCCTGGCTTTTCCAGAAATGATAGGAATTCCTATTAGGATGTATTTCCAAGGCCTGGAAATGTTTTCAATAAGCCATCAGGAGTTTTGGCTCAAACTGCTCTTCAGTTCATGCTTTTTGGGCTTCGCAGAACACTCAATCCACAACATGTGCTAGAAACCTGGACACAGCTAAGATTGAAAACTTCTGCTATCTGTCATCTGCCCCTCTGCTTTCTCTTTCATTCCATGGTGCATTTCCACCTGCTTGGGAAAGTAAACCATAGAGCAACAGAAGAAATGGTAGGTGAGGAGCACCTTATCCATATCTCCATGTTGATGCTCATTGCCTTCCTTGCTTCAGCATGCTGCTCTCAGAATTGCCATTTGTCCCTTGCAACACCACTAAAAAGGAAAAGTGTTTGAATGCTATTTTACTTGGCACACTCTAGCATTCAGCTAGTACCGAATAAGTTCAATCCAGTTCACGCACACAGCAGGAGCAGTGGAAGGTGATGAGGACTGGTGAATACTGATGGAGGGGAGCAGATGTAGGAACCAACCATTTTTTAGGGCATGCATCCACATATTAACAGATGCTGAATATTCACAACATAGATTCTTATCTCTCACTGTTAGAACAAATGCAAAACAACAAAGAGATTTTGACAAAGAAAGTTTTAAGCTTCATGTTGGAGAAAAATGAGGACAAACTATGAATTGCTTGACTGTGAGTTTCCTTATTTGTCCAAGTGTTTGGATAACCCTAGAAACGAAGCCTACCCTTCTGTGTCTGTTCACTCAGAAGCTGGAATCAACAGGTCTTCTCTGAACATCAAGGATTGAAAATGACTCCTCTTTTATAAGCCCTACATCCTGCTGTCTTTCTTGAGGTCTCCAGGATCTAACAAGGGACTTGGCTCTCCAATCAGACCTTTCTGTCATCTTGTGCATGACGGTGTCCTTTCACAAATGCTTGGTCCATCATGCCAGGTCTACTACAAAGATGCAGATGTTTCTTGAAAGTGGCAAAAAGATCAAAGAGAATGTTTGTGCCTGATGTGCTGGAACAAGACTGAATTCTGCTAAATCTGATTTGAGCAAATTAAATAAAACCAGAAGCCAATGCTTTGCAAAATATTGCTGTGGAATTATGGAGCTTCATGGGTCAAAACTGTAGCAAAAATGCACATTTAATTACGAAAACATCTTATCTCAAAATAACCCAAAAACTAAATAGATGCTTCTGTACATTATGGCTGAACTGTTTTAGAACTTAGTATTTCTAAATTTCATTAGTGCAGGTCAATGAACAGTTGCTTGGTTCTTTTTTAATTTTAAGCCTGAACAAATAGTCTAATTATTAAGTTTAATAATGGCTCTAAGCAAAATTTCTTACACAAACATGAAATGGGCTTTTTTCTCATTAAACCACATACTGAATAGGAAACAAAGACGCAAACAAAAATGTTATGTATTAACAACGTGACATCTGTCTAAGGAGGGTGATGAGTAGATTAGTGAAATATGAGTAAGTCCCACAAATGTGTACAAAGAGTTATGGAATCTCAAGAAAGGAGCTGAAGTATGGCTGGCTTCGCTGTGCTTAGATTGTCCTTAGTGATCTCCCACCACTTTTACTGTAAGTCTCGGCTGTGTACTTGGTACAGAGCTCTCAGATTGGAGTAAACAGATAGTTAGCAATCATGATAAGGTGTCACATGATAGTTCATGCACTTGCATGTGGGACTTCTTAAAGTCTTCTGCATTTTATAGCTTGTGTAAAGAAATTACGGGAATGAAAAATCAATGCGGCTGACGAAGACGGAAGCATTTGTCCACAGCTGTTGGTCATCTTGTCAGGTAGATCCCGACAAGTCAAGACAACAGCAGCATACTTCTAAGTTACTCAACTTTCTAGGTGTGTACTATAGCCTCTATTTAGAGACCTCTAGAATTATTTACTACCTATGAGGGAACTATTTGACCAAAATTTGCACACTCCTATTGTTTGAGCCATAATTTTCCTTCATGGGGGATACTGAGTATTAATGTTAAGTATGGAAATTTAGAGCAGGAAGCAGTCTGACTCCATCGATGGTCACTCCCATAGGCATCATGTGGTTCCTCCCCATAGGTGGTCACTCCTGGACATCATCAGCAGTGTCTGGTAAGCAGACAGTTGTGTCAATTCAATATGAAGAAAAGAGAGTCTGAAATTTAAAATTTCATAAAAATGAACATAAGTGAAAAAACAAGGCAATAACTTGAGGACTCAGTTTTGATTCTTTTTGAGTGTATTTTGTTCCAAAATTTAAAATTACGGTAGACATTAAGAATGAAATCTCATAAATCTATTTGGAAAAAAGTTGCCTACTTTTGCCTCCACATACAACTAAAGCTCTGTAATGGAGAGAAAAGGAAATTTATTCAATTTAAGAAATATTTATGAAACCACTTCTGTATTTCAGATGGGGTTTCTAAGGCAGAAGATATGGACAGTGAGTGACCAACTTTCAGTAATTTGTTTCTCTTCAGACTTTGGTTCCATTAAGCATACATAGAAGAGCAGAAAATATATTGTATATGAAATGACAGGCATTTAATGCTTGTTGTATTATTTTACCCAACAACTTTAATCTCTTTATTATTTAGAATTAAAATGTTATTCAGGAATTGAGTTTGTAACTCAGTCCTTAAAGGATCCAAGACATTTTTAAACTATGAAAGCAAATTACTGAGACCAAAATTATTTTTAAAGAGTGTCATTTGTTTGTTTGTTTGTTTGATATTTTTGAGATAGCATCTCACTAGGTAGCCATTTACTGGCACTATGCAGAGCAGGCTTGCCTTGAACTCATTGAGATCTTTATGCCAATACCTACTGAGTGCTAGGATTAAAGGCATGACCTAATTATATATATTGAGGAGGGCAAATGAAATTTTCTCCTCTGGGCCAGCAATACTCCCTTGAAGAACCAAACAGGATTTAATAAAAAAAAAAAACCCAGCAATATGTATGAGACAAACACTTTTGAATTGTTGGTTAGTGCTGTCCATGCCACTCCCAAATAGTACAGGCTATCTCTTAGTTTACCCCCAGAAATGGGAGATAAATATCTTTTGCTGAGGACACCATGCACTTTAGACACAGGGCCCAAAGGACTTTGACTGGACCTGACTTGAAACCATCTTTCCTAGGGAATAACTTGCGTTGTACCAGAAGGAGTGATGCAAACTCTGAAAGAAAGAGTAGCCAACAGTCCTATGCAGTTGTGATGACTATGAGCCACAGCAATGACCACCCTAACACTTAAGGTGGAATAGTGGCATGTATGCTTCATCTGTAATCAACAGCTCTCTAATTGGACTTAAGACCAACTCAACAAGAGTGAAATCATGCTTGGTACTGGAAACTTAGCCAAGTTCTCAAGCTAGAAAAGTCATGAATCTTGGAGAGCTTGCAGTTGTCACTTTAATAAACCAAAATAATTCCTGACTATAATATAAATATTTGTTCTTATATCCACAGATGAGTGTACTACTTACCCCTCCATTCAGGAAATTTATCTTAACAATAAATGGAGACAATTAAACCCACAAGCAAACAAAATGCAGCTGTAGAGTTCAGTCCCAATGCACGTATCTATCTACAACACGGCTGCTACACCTAAGGCTCAGGGAACATTGCAGAAGACGAGGTGGAAAGATTGCAAGAACAAGAGAATAGAGGAGATTGCAGTGAGATTGTGTCTTCTACTAATGTCAAATGGTAAGCCCATAAAGTCCTACCAAAGTGACTACATAAATCTGTGATGAATAAGGACAATCACATTAGGTATGACAATGTAGATAGGCTTAAGAGGGAAGTCCATGAAGCTTCAACCCTACACAAAGAATTACAAGCAACTAAGGGATGCCGAGAGAGTCTTCCTCAGGGAAGGGAAGACAAATTAACTATCCAGTTCTAACTACATGGTCATCCATGAAAACAGACAAAGAAGTAACATTATATAGACTAAGAAATTTACAGTTTGCATTTAAGAATATTTATTTTTATATAGTTAGGAATGTATATTATATAATTGTTTAAATAATTAAACTGTTTATATACTAAATTAACAACATTAATAAAGAAGGACATGAATTTGCAAGAGAACAAGGAGTAACATATGGGAAGGGTTGAAAGAAGAGAATAGATAGGGGAGAAATGGCATAATTATATATAATTATATGCAAATTATATATAATTTAATTTGTGATCAAACTTATAAAAGTTAATTGATTTTTGTCTACACATCTCTTAAGGAAACGGGAAGTCTAGCCAACTACAGTGGCAGTTGCTTATAATCCTAGCACTTCGAAGGTGGAGGCAAGGGAACTAATTATTCCAGATTATCCTCAGCTACATAGTAAGTTTTTTTAATTATAATATAATTTCATAACTTCCTTTGTCCTCTCTCCAACCCCTTCTATGCCTCCTCCCTCTATCTCTTTCCACGTGCCGTCTCAACTCCCTTTCACACTGAAGACCTCTTTTTTGATTATATATTTAAGCATAAATATACAAATATATTCTTATGCATCAGATTTTAAGTAAGATGCATGTATATTCAGCTATTTCTGCATTTGAACATTACTGAACTTCTCAGTTCTTGAATTGTGAAGTGTTGAGGTAAGAATGTTGGAAGCAGACTCTGTCTTTAATATTTGTTAGCTGTATATGTTCAGAAAAAAAATCACCTTTATTTTTCAGATTGTTCATTAATAACATATAACTAATGACCTCACTCTTGTAGTTTCTCTGATCATTAACTAGGGGAAAATTTTAAAAAATCTTAAAGTATAACCATATGTTTTAATACACACTCATGCATTTTCCCTTACGATCATATGCAATATTTTTCTGTCTAAGCATTTTATTATATCTAACAAGACATGACATAAATGAATCCTTCTATATCTCATTTCTCTGTTTTTCACTCATAGTGTGTCTGTTTCAAAAAATTCTATTCTGCCTTTCTGATTTTCTTTTTCAGAAAGAAAAAGAAAATTGTTTTCTTTTTGTTGTTTTCTACCTTTTTGGGACATGGTCTCATGAAGTACAGACTGATCTCACATGAAATATGCAGTTCAGGCTGTCTTTGAAGTCCTGTTTCTCCTATCTTCTCCAGATCCACCAGAGTACCAGAGTGCTGGGATTTCTAGCTGGTGTTATTATATGCAGCTCAGATTCAGTAAAGTCTTATTCCTTTTTTGTTTTGCTTAAAATTAGAGACATTTTGTATCATCATGAATTCTATAGACAATTCCATCCCTGATAACCATGAGCTTTAGAAAACAGGCGAGTAAGAAAACAGCAACCCTTCACTAAGAGCTGCAGGAGTAGCATTTTGACATTTGGAATGAACTCGTCTCTTTGTGATTCTTGCTCTGCATAAGCAACTCTTATATGTAACAGGCTTTTTGTTTTGGCTGCCAGCCAGTTCCCAAATATAAGACTCATGGACTAATTATTAGTTATGAATGCTTAGCCTTCTCTTATGCTTATTCCACTAATTCTTATAATTTAATTTAACTTGTTTCTAATCATCTACGTTTTGCCTCAGGGCTTTTAATCTTTCATTCTGTGTGTCCTGCTTTTCTGATTTCTCAGTGTCTGTTTGGCTTGTCCCTAGCTTCTCACTGGTGCTCACTGGTGCCTCTTTTCTCTGAGCCTAAATAATTCCTCCTCCTTACTTATTCTCCCTGCCCAGAAGTCTGGCTTAGACCTTCTCCCTTGCTATTGGCCATTCAATTTTTGTTTTTTAAAGACAAGGGTTCTCTGTAGATTTGGAGCCTGTCCTGGAACTAGTTCTTGTAGACCAGTCTGGCCTTGAACTCACAGAGATTCACCTTCCTCTGACTTCAGAGGGCTGGGATTAAGGGCATGCACCACCCAGCTGGCCATTCAACTTTTTATTAGACCAATCAGGTGCCTTAATCAGCAACACATCTTTACATAATAAGCCAAATGCAGTGTAACAAATGTAACACATCTTTGACCAGTTAAACAAATATTCCACAATGTAAGAGCCCACAGGTGTGGATTCATTCTATCTTGACTAAAAGAGAGTTCAGTCCTATTCTTGCTTCTTTGAGGTTGATAGGAGGTTTGATCCAGGGTGTGGCTAGTAACAGCATGTATTTACCTAGGTTGCAGTTATTTGGTGTTTAGAGTATTAAGATGGCAATTATTTTGTTTCTTGTTTGTATATGATAAAGAAATCTTGCTTTCTTTTCCCTTTTTGGGTTTGGGTATTTAAAGATCATGAGAAATGACCATGGTTGACTTCAATATTCACTGGGTTTCCCTTCTGACTCTTTTCTGTTGGTAAAGACTGCTCTTTTGTTCCTGGCAGCCCAGTCCCAAAATAATCACACACACTATGTTACTTAAAACACTCCTTAGCCTATTAGCTTGGATTTCTTATTAACTAACTATTACAGCTTAAATTAACCCATTCCTATTATTTTATACTTGAGCACGATTCTTGTGGTTTACCAGTAAGGTTCATAGGTATCTGTCTCCTTCAACATCTTCATGGCATCTTCTAGACTCTGCCTTCTTTTCTCCTCTATCTTGCTTGAAATTCCCACCTTACTCTATTCTGTCCTGCTATAGGCCCAAGTAGCTTGTTTATTCATTAACCAATAAAAGCAACACATACACAGAAGGACTTTCCACACTATTTCCACTTTTCTGTCCAAATAAAAAGGAAGGTTTTAACTTTAACATAGTAAAATTACATATGCAAAACAGTTATCAAACAAAAATTATCATTACAATGTTTATATCTACTTTATCTTTTATCAAAACGAAGGAAACTTATAATTATAACTATTATTTAATTCCATCAAAAACTTTAGAAAGGTATATTACCTAAATGAACAGGAAGTGCATTATAAGCAACTTCCAAAATTCTAGAATTGACAGAGACATCTCACTGCCTGGATAGTCATCCAAAGTACTTTTGTAACATTGGGGTATCCATCTTCAGCCTATAGGCCCATAGTCTCTGGCAGACTTTTCCATAAAGCAGGAAATTTCAAAGACTGTTCATCTTTATTGGCAGTTTGTCAGTCACTTTCTTGTGTGTCCTGCATAGCAAGAAGCAGGAACCTTGGATGACTATCTCACCTTCTTTAAGCAACATCATCAGTCATGTTTCTGTGGGTTCTGCATGCTCAGTTTATAAAGTATACCATAGGCAGTCCAGGTAAGAGCGATTTCTTGCCAAAATGGCTAACCAACTTCATAAGGAGCCTGGCTGATGCCCATCATCTTCTTGATGATTAATGTATATTGGTGCTGCCAGGACCAGATGTGTCTGTTTGTTATGAAAAGTCATAAGTTCTTAAAACATTTTAAATGCCATATTCCATTAGCCTTTGAAAAGTTTGAAGAATTATCATTGAAGAAATACATCTCTGTACATCTAGAAAGCCTAACTAATATGACTACAAGTTTGACTATTATAGATGATTGCCTATTAACCTGGATTTTTAAATTATACATTACATTTTTAAATGAGCTGCAGAAACACAATATCTTAATCAAGAATAATATATATATATCTATAACTATATATCAAAATTAACCTTAAATTTATATCAATAAATGAAGATCCATACCAAAACAAAGTATCATCTCTATAGCATATCCCCTTTCACATATAAACAAATATTTATGAACCGTATTTGGGAATTTGAGTGTAGTTCTCTCCAAACTACTTCTTGCTTTTTGTTGTGCAAAGTAATTTTGGGGTTTGGGGAGACTTTTCAGGGGATCTTTCTCCATCAAACCACATTAATCTGGAAGGAATCCACAGATTCTCAACCTCTGTGGAAATAAAAAAAAAAAACCTCTTTCAAAGCAACATATTCTTAGACCCAAATTTCGAACTCAAAATAATATATATATATAGATAGATAGATATAGATATAGATATATGCAGCTCCCACAATCGAATATCTCTTTGTAGTCAAAAAAATTCAAAGAAAACACAATAGTGTACATAATCCAGACTCTCTGTGTTTACTTCATCTTTATGTGGCATATTTTATTTTTTTTTACTCCTTTAATCTGTGACTGCACTCTGTCTCTTTAAAGACTTTTTTCTTATTTTTCTATATTCTTTTCTTTTCTCTCTCAAGCCTATGTACGTTTATCCAATACTGAGACCCATTTAGAAGTCTTTTCCATCTGAATTTGTCTTTATTGTGTGTATATCTGTAATTATTTTCTGACCAGGAGTGCCTTTTTCCCCCAAAAGCTAAGTGGCCATGGCTAGGACCAACTCTGCTGCCCTCCTGTTGGCTCCACCCAGTCAAACATGGTAGAAACATGTTTACTGCCTCTGAGAACCATGCACATTGCTGCAGCTCCAGGGTCGCAGTGGGTCTGCGTCACCATTAATCAACTTGTAACATGCAACTCACAGAGCCAATTTAAGTGTTGGGCCTCCTGAAGAGCCAGAGCTGTTCATGTTCAACTATCATGAACCAGTAAACCCTCCTCTAAAGAAACCACATAGCCTTCACTGCCAATTCTGTGTCAGAAACACTTCTCTTAAAGGAGCCATGCCACCAGGAAACAGAACCCACCCGAATCTCTGTATATTTCTCTTGTATCTCTGTTTTTTATTCTGCCTCATATTTCTAATCCACATGCCCCTACTCTGTAACACATGAACCCATTGAGACTAGAACCCAACAAATGTCATTCCAATATGGAACCACCAATAGATGACCCCTTCATGGGAGGCTCTCGACAGATTGAGCCTGGATGTGTGGCCAGTGGTACAGATGGAGAATGTGATACAAACTGCTTATAAATATCACCCCACACAGGTGTGTAGGTGAGAAGTGAGTGCTCAAATAAATAATAAATGTGGAAGGGCAGTATATATTTTTCATGAGTAAAACTGTATGTAATTGTAGATATGAGACAGGGAAAGTGTAGACAGCTGTCTGTACATTTACTTGGGTATATTTTAACATCCAGGAGAACTGGGGTGGACCCACAACAACTGCAGAAATTTTTAGAGTTTGTAAATAGTTTAAACTTCCCAGATCCTCCCCCACACTGGTTACACCTCACTCTCTTCGGTCTATTTCTGGGTTCATGGTAGGAAAAGCAGCATGGGATTTCCCACCTGCTCCAGAGCTCAGAGAAGGGAAAGCAGGGGTAGTGAAAAGGGTGCAGCTCTGCCTGCCTTAGTTACCAGCCAATAAAGTCGTGGACACTACTGTCTCAGAACTGATACAATGGTGGGCACCTGGGCACCTGTGCTGCAGCTTGGTGTGGGAAGTCCTTCTGCTTATGTGTTGCTTTTATTGGTTAATGACTAAAGAAACTGGCTTGGCCCAT